CATTTGCACGCATTGCACCCCAATTGCCCCCTAAAATTGTATGCATTGCACCCCAATTCGCATGCATTGCACCCCAAATCCACCCCACATTTGCACGCATTGCACTCCAAATGCACCCCCAATTGTCATGCATTGCACCCCAAATACATCCCCAATTCGCATGCATTGCACCCCAAATCCACCCCACATTTGCACGCATTGCACCCCTAAATGCACCCCAACTTCCCATCCATTGCACTCACATTGCACCCCCAATTCCCATGCATTGCACCCCATTGCACCCCAAATTCCCATCCATTGCACCCCAAATCCACCCCACATTTGCACGCATTACATTCCAATTGCACCCCCAATTCCCGTGCATTGCACCCCAAATACATCCCTAACTTGTCTGCATAGCACCCCCAAATGTACCCCAAATTCCCATCCATTGCACCCTAAATGCACCCCCAATTTCAATGCATTGCACTCCAATTGCACCCCCAATTGTCATGCATTGCACCCCAAATCCATCCCCAATTTGTCTGCATTGCACCCCCCAAATGCACCCCACATTCGCACGCATTGCATTCCAATTGCACCCCAAAATAGTATGCATTGTACCCCAATTCGCATGCATTGCACCCCAAATCCATCCTACATTTGCATCCATTGCACTCCAATTGCACCCCCAAATTCTCATCATTGCACCCCAAATACATCCCCAATTTGTCTGCATTGCACCCCAAATCCATCCTACATTTGCACGCATTGCACCCCAATTGCACCCCAAAATTGTATGCATTGCACCCCAATTCTCATCCATTGCACTCCAATTGCATCCCCAATTCGCATGCATTGCACCCCAAATCCATCCTACATTTGCACTCATTGCACCCCTACATGCACCCCAAAATAGTATGCATTGCACCCCCATTCGCATGCATTGCACCCCAAATCCACCCCACATTTGCACGCATTGCACCCCAATTGCCCCCTAAAATTGTATGCATTGCACCCCAATTGTCATGCATTGCACCCCAAATACATCCCCAATTTGTCTGCATTGCACCCCCAAATGCACCCCACATTCTCATCCAATGCACCCTAATTCCACCCCAAAATTGTATGCATTGCACCCCAAATCCATTGCACTCCAATTGCATCCCCAATTCGCATGCATTGCACCCCAAATCCCCAATTTGTCTGCATTGCACCCCCAAATGCACCCCACATTCTCATCCAATGCACCCTAATTCCACCCCAAAATTGTATGCATTGCACCCCAAATCCACCCCACATTTGCACGCATTGCACCCCCCATTGCACCCCAAAATTGCATGCATTGCACCCCAATTCCCTGCACTGCACCCCCTTCCCCGCCTGCACCCCGCCTTCGCCTTCTCTCGCTCGTCCTTCCTTCCCCTCGCGGCCTCCGTCCGTCCCCCCCTCCCCCCGTCTGCGCCTGCGCAGCCCGCGCCTCCCCTCCCCCCCCTGGCTCTGTCACAGGCCCTGTGTCCGTCCGTCCGTCCCTGCCTGTCCGTCTGCCTGTCCTGTCCTCTCCTCACTGCTGCTGCTGGGGCCTTCCTTCCTCCTCCTCCTCCTCCTCTTGCTCAGGGGAGGGAGGGGAGGGACAGACGGACGGCCGGGGGGGGGGGGACAGACGGACGGACATGCAGGCGCTGATCTCCCCGGTCAGCAAGGCCCTGCTCGTGGCGCTCTTCATCTTCGCCATCCTCCTCATCCTCTACGTCATCCTCTGGTACATCTGCCGCGACGTGGACTGCGACCACGGCCTCTGACCCCCGACCCCTGACCCCCGACCCCCCACACGACCTGTGACCCTACCTGGCCATGACCCACCATGGACCCTCTGGGTGAGTTCTCTACCCCCACCCCCATCCCCCCCCCGTGACCCCTGACCCCCCACCACAACCTCCGACCACTCAGGCCATGACCCAGGATGGACC